AAACCCTGTAAAAGGACAAATAAATCTTGCAAATAAAATATTGTTGCAATTGGGCAATTTCCAAGAGACTGACAAACCATGTGATATGAGTGAAAACTGAGACGAGAAACTTTAGAATGTCTCGGAGTTAGGACTCTCAGAGGGACAGAATACGGGTGCAATATAAAAATAGTAATAAGGCCAACACAACAATAATCCATATACCCTAACAAGAGTTTCGTCCCAGAGTCCTATAATTCGTGGACATGTTGATAATGTTCATTTCCAATGTTGCATTATGTGACGCAATCACATGCAGGATATTAGAAGTGGTGGTCTGTCTACTGTATAGACTACTTCACACGTCTGACCATGCAAATTGATTTGGTGGCCCATCTTATTATGATCTTATCCCACCCGGTTCTAGTTACATCTTGGATCCGGCTCACAGTGAACCGCTTAATTAGACCCTTGGAATGAATGAAGTTGGCCAAGTTGATTCAAATTTAGTGGGTCCTTTGGAATGGTGACTACCACACCATTGCATGTGCACCACATGCACTGAATTTGTTGACACTAAAGTGGTAGACAATGGTGGTTGTCTAGGCGGATGTCTCTTAATTCCTACTTAATATTGTAGCTTGCCAAGCAAAGTGGGGTACATTTGGTGCTAAGAAGCACATGTGGACTGACTGAACATGTGCACCACATGGGACCAACACATATGTGAGAGAGAGAATCACATGGAGGTTGATTGTAGGCTGTTATCTTATCCTCTTTAAATGTTTAGTTGCATTAAACATTTCTAATATTTCTTTTTTGGTTCTGATTTTCGTTGTATTTATCTCCAGAAGAGTGGCAGAGCATTGCCCATAGCCAGAGCAGTGGCATCACTGAACTTGTGTTAAGATAGACTGAACAAAATTGACATACATGAATCTCACTCTCTGTCTCTCTCTCTCTCTGGAATCTGGATGAAAGAAGTCGTTAGTGAAGAGGAATTTGAGGGGAGCTGCAAAAGGACACGTGACACCCACTTGGATGTAGGAGAGCCACCATGATTTTTTGGGAAACTTCGTAATGCGGGCTCTTAGCCGAATATAATATACAGATTGGCATTGCTTGAATTGAGAGTGAAGAGAGTGGGTGAGGACTGACAACCCTTTCTGGGGCACCCTTTTTCTGTTTCTCTGTTCTGTCCATCGAGGTTGATAATGTTATCCTCATCTCCACCAATGTCGATTATGTTGGTATTTATCACAACTCACAAAGGTTGATCTCATTTTACAGTCTGCAGTATTACAATCATAGCTACCAGAGCCGATCCAGCTTTTGAATCAGAGAAGGCTCAGCCCTGAGTCAGACTGGTCCGACTAGTTGGTCAAAATGGTTTAAAATTGTAGCACCATAAGCAGCTTTTGAGAGATGGCTGACCCAGCTGCTTGAGTCTGGCTGTAGTTGTGGTGGCAGATCAAATCGGTTTAACCTTATAAAGTTAACATTGCGAATAGCATGCGGTACCGTGGTACGGCAGTTTTCTCTTGAATCCTCCTCGGTGGACAGTGGTGGTGGAACCACTTCTCCCACGCCCCCTCCCATTTTCGGAGCTTCAATGCAGAATCCTTTAGGACTGTCGTATTATACTCGATAGTTGATAGAGGTAGGCCTGTAACTGGATCTAATTCTAATCGAATCAGGCTATATTCTGCTACTGATATTCGAATTTGATTCGATATCCAATGGATATCAAATACATCAATTCGAATTTGATTTCGATTATTGAATCGAATATTCAATTCGATTTGAATTCATCTGAATGTGATGGGTTCCCACCTGTAAGAGTGTAATCACCTTGAGAAAAGAGGGAGGTGACGGCAGCAAGCATGGGTTCCCGACAGTGTGAATGCAATGGGTTCCCACCGTCGGTCGTAGGTTGTAGCAAAAGCCGATGATGCTGAATGGTTGAGGCCTGAGGGTTGCTTGAGCTTGAGCAGCGGTGAACGGGCAATTGGGTGAAAGAGACAGTGTTGATCTTGAGCTTTGAGCTTGAGCTATGGCCGGTGATCGGTGCTCGACTATTATCACTGGCGATGTCGTTGAAGGGATGAGAGATCCATCATATGGATGGCCAAACCCTGCAGGAAGGTTGGGCGAAATTTCCAAAATTTCTCTCTCCCATCTGGGATTCACATTTCCTATTTTAGAAAACTGCATTTTAAAGGATCGTTCTTGAATCCAAAACCAGACCAGATCTGAAACCAAAAGGGAGGAGAGGGATATACCTGATATGAAGTAGCAGTAACTCCCAATGAAGGTGTTCACGCCCAAGGAGAATATCAAAACCTGTTTTCACTGAAGATGACATCGTGTGTGATGAAGCAGGATCAACATGATGACTCTTCAGTAAAAACCGGGATCCTTCAGCAAGAATCGGACAAGGGTTGGTGAGCATGACTTCAGATTGTTTCTTCAGCTAAGAAACAATATCAAGAACCTTTCTTGATCAATTCCTCAAGAGGAGATCGAATTGGATAGAGATTGCAAGAATATGAGAGAATTATGTAGGTTGTTGTGTTATGTAACTGAGGAATTTGCCCCCTTTATTTATAGCCTTCTCAGGATCAATCTCCTAATCTAATTAGGAGAGAGTTCCTTAATCCAAATATGATATTTGGATCTGGACTCTTGAATGGATAAGATTTATCTTATCCTTCAGCTAATCCTAATCAGATTATAAATCCTATCTTGCCTCCTTTTAATTAACTAACTTAAGC